GACTACAGGAAGCCCGAGGCAGAGTTGCTCTGCCCCAGGCTTCCTGGAATCAGCTGCTGATCAGTTTCAGCAGCAGCTGACTTGGGGACGCCTGGGGTTCTTAAGTTGAATCTGTATGTAAGTCAGAACTGGCGTTCAGATTCAGCCACGGTTGAAACTGATCAGTTTCAGCAGCGGCTGACGCCAGTTCTGACTTACATACAGATTCAACTTAAGAACAAACCTACAGTCCCTATCTTGTACGTAACTGCCTGTACTTTACACACACACAAAAACAGGTCTCAACCATGCTTGTAGCACTTTCTTATTCATTGCACTAACTCAACAGATATTCTAGATTTCAGAGTGACACCTACAGTGACAATCACAGCATCTTTTTGTACAGAAAAGATTTGAACTTAAATACTACATATGGGATCATTCTGAAAAGATAAAAATTGCATCTTTTAAATTAGTGTAAAGCAATCTGTGTTTTTTTGTAAATGTTGAGTTAAATGAAATAAAGATGTTTCATCTCTGCTCACATGCTTTTAGTATTCAGTTGCAAAGAATTTTGCAATGAAAGATTAGCAGGCATGATCATGGGAACAGCTGATTTAAGTGCATTAATTTATAACAACAACAAAAAAGACTCAAAGGTAAAGCCTTACAAGTAAGACTGCTGTCAACTTATTCCAAATTTGAATTGTAAAATCTTTGGCAATCTCCCTTAAGAGAGAAGAGAAAAATAACCTTGCACAGTCAGTATAGATTTATGGTAAATCCTGCCGGAATACACACGCACTTTTTTGTGCTCAGAAACGAGGCAGGAAGGGAAGATGGAAGAAGCTAATTTTTATTAATTGAGAGAGCTACTGTGCTTAACAGCATCCTGAAATACATTTTCAGGTCTGCTTCAGCTTGTGCCATTTGACTGTTTTTCAAGTACTTATGCCTCAAGGTGGAGCTATTATCTTTTCAGTGGAGAGGAAGAAATGAAAACATTTCTTCATTCCCTAGAGTTCTGTTTCTGATCTTGAATAAATGTATGGGTTGTGTTGTTAATGAGAAATGGCAAGCTACTCCCCCCCGCCCCCTTCCTTTCAAGATGAAAAGTTCAATGAAAGCAGGCAATGTATCACATGGGCAGAGGAGCTGAGATGGTGACTTTTTTGGGGGGGAAGAAGGGGATATTTATGTCAATACTATCTTTCATAGGGTGAGGAAGATGAGTACCTTTCACTCACAGTAGGTATCCAAAATAATTGTAAAAATACGTATAATGATTTTCAAAAGCAGCACTGTTTTTGTTATGGCATTTTGAATTGGTAACAATTTTCCAGAAGATATTTTGAGTGTGTATTGTGTGCTACTTAGAACTATTCTAGACAGTTATGGCTGGTTGTCAAATCAATAGGACACTGGATATATTTTAGTCTGTGTGCTGTAGCTTAAATAACCTTTTAAGGACTCCTTTCTTTCGGTGCTGTAAATAAATGCTGAATGTTATGTGCTTGATTGACCTTTGGGTAATACATTCCACATGGTTTTATTGCTGGAATGAGACCCTTCTTGTCAGTAAACATAGAATAGTGATGTGAGGTGATTTCAGCGTGAGAAATACATGCAGCATGTGGATGAACAGAGGCAGGGTATTCTGGAAGTTCATTTAAATAAGAATACTTTAAGTCAACGTGTTATTTAATGACAGTAAAGAGAACTTGAAAATCTTATGAATGACATACTAGTCATCTTATTTCTTATTTTAGCTCAGATTCTTAATTGCAACATTACTGTGGACATGGGAATATATTGTAAGTGAAGTCATGAGAGTCTAGACCAACTTGCCCTTTGTTGGTTTTTTGTCTGTTTTTTTAAAAAATATGCATTGCTCCTGAGTATAAATATTCATTCCTGTTACCTTAACATACCTGTTTCTATAGTATGCACCACAAACAATTCTTGCTCCCAGGAAATGTCCAGCTGGGGGCTGGCAAGGCATATTTATAACAGCTGCACTCCTCCATATACCAAAAGCTTCACTGTGCTCCCAGATGAATAGACTGAGGAAGGTGTAGAAGGCCTGTCTAAGATCCTTTAAAGTTCTTAAGTTCTGCAGTGGGACTGTACCATGAATGCAGAGAGCCCTGTGCACTCAGCTCATATACTGAGACAGTGAGCTCTGTGCTGGCCTGAGAAAGTCAGCTGCAAAGGTAAGATTTGAAGATCTGAGTATGGGCCAAGTATCCGAATAATTCAAAGCTCTCCTACTTTGTTGCAGAGAGGGATTGCTATTCCAGTCTATGGCTTATAGTTACAGCTACAGAAGGGTTGTACTTTAGAGACCCCGGTGTTGCATGTTAGAATGTGTGCATGACTTGAAAGTCTCACTTTGAGCAAGAGGCGTGAATGTCAACCTATGTGATTTAATCGACGGAGCAAGCAAGGAAAAACATGATTGACATTTTTCTTTTTGCTTTCCTCATGTATGGAAACGTTCACCCAGACTCCCAAGTTTTACTGATTTATTTTAGAGATAGGCCAAGATTCATTTAGCCAAAATGTTAAATACTCAAGCATGGCTAAAAATCACCTTCCTTGCCAGTATGTACAGTGCATTAAATGAATTATTTTATGTTGCCCATGAAACCTCTGTCACTGCCTGGAAATACTTCATCATCATAAAAACATAGATGTTTACCTAGACAGTATTAGCTGTTGTGATTTCAATCCTGAAGATACTGTACTAGCAAGAATTTCATACACATTTATAATTAATAACTGTGATGGGTTTTCTCCCCAAGGTGCCACGTGGAACTGGGGTACCACTGAGCCTGCCGGACCCACCAGCTTTGGCTACCTCTATACTGTACTATTGTGACCAGGTCCTCAATTCACTTCCAGCACACATACACACAGCCTCTTTGACCAACCCCTATATGGGAAGTTATAGCTGAGATACCTCACAATTTCTAAGACATGCATACCCTTTCTGAAAGCTAACCCAAAATTATACTGTCTTGTGCTGCATAGAGAACTCCACAGCTCATGAAATTCACTCCTACCTCAATGTGGAGAGGAATATACAACTGTGTTTTGCCCCAAATTATGATTTCCCTCCACTGGTTTTAGACAAAATGAAAATAAGTTTAATATCTACAAAAAATAGATTTTAAGTGATTATAAGGGATAGCAAACAGATTAGAGCAGATTGCCTCACAAATAAATAAAATGTGCAAACTAAGTTTAATATACTATATAGATAAGATATGAATATCAAATTCTCATTCTAAATGAGGATGCAAGAAATCTGTAGATTTTTAAAGGGCCACCTTCACTTGCTTGCATTTTAAAACTCCAGGTTATCCTTCCACAGGCTATAATTTCCTCTGGCCTTGGTCCAACACTTACATCCAGTTCAGTCTTTGTACCTTATCAGTTTCCGAGAACCTTCTTTGAGCAGGGAGTCCGAGAAGAATCCCAATAGTGTCACTCTGCTGACTATAATTTTTGCATATGGTAGGAATTCTTTGTCTCCAAGATTGATTCCCAAACATTTCAGTGGAAAAAACACTGGTATTCCAAGGTGGAGTCAAGTAGCAGGTAATTTGATCATGTGCCGCTGTAGTATCATAGCAGCCATGGCTTGGAGGCTGTTTGCAACATCCTCAAGCAGGCTCACTAGGAAGGCATTCAGAAGTGAGAGAAACGTTTTTCTAAGACCTAGTGTTCTCTTTTGACTTGAAACACTCCTCCTAGACAGCCATGTAGACTGTCAAGCTTTTGGGGCATTCTCCATGTATAAAAACACTTGTAATAAATAGATAGATACTATTCCTAAATTCAAATACCAGTGTGATGCATGCATACAAGAAAGAACCATATTCAATTAAATATAAACTTTCCAGTGACACCATATATGAATCATCTTGCATAAAATATATCATTGTCACAATCACATTATTTTTGTTATAAAATAATATTATAATATTACTGTGAACAATATGGGGTATAGCATCATAACTGTAAAATAAATCAAGGTCAAAATTAGAAAAGTAGATTTTCCTCTTTCATTTAACAATTTCATGGTCTGTCTTTGTACTCACATATTGTTTTTATATAGATCTTGTGTTCTGCGGGAGTTAAGTTCAATCATCAAGGTCCAGCTTCTGTCACACAGACTTCCTGCATTCAAATTTCCCCCTGGTGGTTGGCAAATAGGTAATAACACCACAATAACAAGTCCTGTTTCTTGTATCATGCCTGGGCTTGAAGCCTGGCTGAGCTGGATCTGAGGTGACTGGTGATATTTGGGCACTGACTTTTTAATTAGCTTGCTCAGGAAAGATTAGTTAGACAGTGGTTTGCAGGGTCTCTCCTGATGAGCAGTGGTTCCTCTAGAACTTGTTAGTCTATTTGGTACTGGTCAGATTACATAAGGTGGATGCCTAACTCATCTCACCTAAAGACATGTTGAAATATTTCCATTAGTGGGAGTTCAGGTTGTGCTCTACTTTTCTACTGAACAAAAAGAACAGGGCTTAGGTGGCCTTGATAGTCATTGAAATTTCTATTTCTACATTTTGTATGGAGACTTGGGAGGTGGATGCAAGGTGTTTGGTCCTAGTGTGCCTTGTCACTCTTAGAAGTCGTTCTGGGTAAGGGTGATCTTTTCTGGAAAATAAGAATTCCTTGAAGGAAAAAGTGTTGGCTGGGTCCGAGTGAAGGTAGTTTGGGTTCAAAACAGTGTTTGATGAGTAATCGTTAGCCCATCTCAAACTGGCTTTAGAAAGAGATGGGCACATTGTTTGACTGTCTTAGCAGAGGCCAAGGATTGAATATACATTGAAACTTAATCTTCAAAATACCTCTCACATTCTGGGCCAGAGATGAGACACATTTGTGGGATAGTTTTGGGAGACCTGCACTGATGCACCTTGCAATGTGCTATGTAGTTTCTCTAGGTATATAGACGACTTGAACTTCCAGGGCTCCAAAGGCATCAGTGTTCAAAAACATTGACGTAGCTACAAAGTGAATATGAGTGACTTCAAACAAGTATATCTCATTTTCCCCTCCCTTGCCTTGCTGAAGAACCTCATTTGTGATCTCTCATTTCCCTAAAGCTTCCTGATGCAACAGTTAGCATCAACTCTTCCTTATTTTATAAACCAGCTACTGTTTCTCTGTACCTGTTTCAGCTGGCAGCTTCAGACCAAAGTACCTGGTGATGTCAGCACCAACCTTTCTGATGCACTCATCCAAAGCAATCAGAAAACCATGGTACAAAGGAGAAAGATGAGCTAAATAAGTTTCAAACAGGTTAAAAGCAATGAGGTCATAAACCCAGCAGGGTTTCAATATCTGATTAAAGAGCATGCTAATGCTCATGTTTTCTGAAAGGGCTGGCTGAACTACTCTGATTTCCTGTCAGAATTTTATTGCTGGGTAATACATCTTCACAAAGGCATCACTCCACTTCTTCCAGTCAAGAAATTCCATAAGGAAAGAATCCCTTAGATTTATGAACTGTGGTATTTAAATCACATTGGTTATGTGAGCTTATTTACATTTCTCAGCCATTTAAGCTATTTTATAATTGTAAAGAAAATAATGAATGAAACGGACAAAATGGTGATAGATCTATTTGATTAAATTGCTCTCATATAAATGCCAACAGCTTTTCTTATTACAACTCTGGCATTAACTGAGCACCTTGTTAGATGCTGTTGTCATGGAAATTTTTTGTGATAATCAATTAAAATCCCATCAGAAAATAATTAATACATGTCTGTATGCAGTGTTGTTGTTGTAACCATGTTCGACTTAGGATAGTAAGGTGGGTGAGAGAAAATCTTGTATTCAGCCATGGTAAGTGACCCACTTAACATTTCCCCCAGGTTTTTTTCCTGTTCCCCTCCTGTGAGAGGAGAAATGTTAAAGGGCCTCTTCACCTTGAATGGTCCCTTCACGGGTGGTGGGTGAAGCTTCCCTTTGGGGAGGCTAACTGCTAGATCCATCCCTTTTGCCCAATAGGATAACAGCTACTGGGAGGGGAGGGCAGCTCTGTGCCCTCAGAAGAGGTGGGACTGAAGGCAGTTAGCCCTTAGCACTGCCTAACTTGTGGCACCCCCCTCTCCAGCCCTTAAAGCCATGTGGAGCGGCACTCCAGCAGGGCTCTGGCCACCACTGCTATGGAGCTCTGTACCCCTTTGAATCTCTAGGCCCTGGGACAATTGCCCCTGTCC